AAAAATAGCGGCTGTTGTAAATCATTAAATCAGTGATTTTATCAAATTATCTTAACAAAAAATAGTAGAAATTCTCATTACTGGTCATTACTAAACGTATCCCATGACAAATTAATGCTCACTGCGTATTTATGATCATTTCTCGATTATATTTTATATTTTATTGCAATACCTTTCGTGGACCTTTCATAGCATCGTAATGTTTGTTTACTTTGCTCGATAGGTAGCCGGTTTGACAGTTCAATAGGTAGTCTTGGCTTCACTCTTGGCGTGACTCATTATACACCGACTCTAGCACAAACCTTCAAATGATGCTGTATTTGTAAATATCCGAAACGCAAATAGTTCGTTAAATTTACTACGCAGTCTGTGGTGAGAGTAAATCGTTTTCCGATATAAATACACTTAAAAAATTTTACTCCTATTTTTTTTAAGATAGAAAAGATTGAAAGAAGAGATCGATTTTTCGATCCTCTTCGTGGGTAAAGAATCGATCCGAAAAATCGGAAATCGGGATGAAGAAGATCGATCTTCCAAAGATCATGGAAGATTTTGGACATTGTGCGGCTGTTGCAAGACAAAGAGTTTCTCATCAGAAAACACGAACTCTTGACCTGCGTGCCGTGAAAGTATCAGTTTGCCTCTGTCCAGCCTCTTCTTCGCTGTAGCCTCCGTTACCCCGTGAATCTTGCGTTTATTGTACGGCTTGTATCCCAGGTTATTCGTCATGATGGTGTGGGCAGTCCCAATCGACACATCCAGGTCAGCAGCGGTCTTCCGGATCGAGCGGTTCATTTGATCTCGCACGGTCCCGAGACGCCGAGCCCGTCTCCTGGTACCGATGGATGGTGGTATAGATGAAATTCCGCTTCACCTCGTGGGATTTCAACCGCCGGAATATGTCGCCGGGTCGCTCACCTCTCGCAAACAACTTTAATACGACTTCACGGTACTCCTTCATCGTGCGCGGTAAACAACAAATGACAGCAAGTCGGCACCGTGCGCGTCGGTTCGCCTACACTCAAAATAATGTTCACGTCAATGCTACGTGGAAACATATGTAGATTTTTTCCATCATACTTTTCACGTAAGAGCTACGTAATTATCATGTAGGGGTACTCATTTTATTGGACCCAAACGTCACTGGATTATCACGTAGAAGTTACATGAATTTGTTGATGGCATTCACTGGTGGATTCCAGTATCATATTTGTTTATAGTTGTTTACAAAAGATTTTCTTATAAGATAAAATCAATTATGTATTCCTATAGAATAAATAGAAATCTTATAATATTCCTTTATTTATTGATGCACATATTCCAAAAAAAAAAACTCCAGAAAAAGTGTAATAATATCCGATATGGATCCCAAACAATCCTGGTGATATGACCAATGGAATAGGATGAATTTTCTTTTCACTGCCAGATCATTTGCCGTCTTTCTATTGAACACAATAAAACAGGCAATGTATGTTTGAATATCAGGATAATCATTAGAAATAATCAAAAATTATACTTACATCTTGCAATTATTTTACAAAAATAACGGACATTAGCACATCACGATGTCGCCATACTTTGCACCACTCTGAGTGTAGAACTCTTTTGTTTTTTCAGATGTGGAAATCACGTAAGGTTTACGTGAAACGCACATAGAAACAGTGTATGTGAAAATCACGTACATTGCATTGATTAAGTATGTGTGCTTAATCGGAATTCCCTTTGATATTCAAGGGGTATCACATACATTCTACGTGAGTCATGTAAAACTGCGGGAACTAGAAAAAGAGAGAGCTTATGTGATTTTTCACGTACACTCAAATATAAATGAAATCAAAAATGCTTAAAAACTAAGCAATTTTCTGCTTTGCCTTATTCAGTTTGGCAGTAATCATGCATGAATAAATTCGAAATAATCATGCAATGCTTACTTTTCAATGTTGCAGTGATAAAATTAACATTGAAATTTATTCATTTTAAAATTAAATATCCATCATCCCAATAATACATTCTAATCAACGCAAGCTACTCGGTGGTGCCCATTTCGGCAAACAAAGATAAGTGTGTAGAAAAACTTGATAAAGTTTATAGAAGAACATCTAAATCTTAATTTCATTTGAATTTTATTTCTATACATTAAAAAACATAAGCCTTGGATGAAACAAAGCGGACGCTCCTACTTCTAGCCTCGCTGCCGTCGTTCTAGCCTAGTTGCCGTGGTTTTCTGTGTAACACTGGGTCTGTAAGAAACGAAAAAAAAAATAGAAAGCAGTAAAAGCAATTTTTGGGCTGGAGTCAGAGTCAGACTCGTTGAAATCAAAAATTAGAATGCATTATACGATCAACAATTGAACGGCTGGATGATCCTAGTCCATTCCCGATGCGACACAAATCTCGCTCACTCCGCACTTCCGGAGTCGATTTTCCGCAAGCTTTCTCGATATCATTCAATCATCCATTGATGAATGAAGATCCGGACAACTTCCAGATTTTTATTTCTCAACGAATGATCTAATGATGCCGAGAGAATTGTCGGGCACTTATGGAGAAATGTCTTCTTTTTAATTATATATCTTACCTTTAATCACCTCCGTGGTGTCTTCACCGATTGCACCAAACACTTCTTCCATCGCAGCACACCCGGAATCACCGCGAAAAACTCATAAAAATGCACAGCACTCGCACAGCAGAACCGACGCCGCAAATACAAACGCAAACGAGGTTTCGAACAAGTTTGACGTTTGATTTTACACTGTTAATCATATTTAATTTAATTTATTTATTTTATTTTTATTATATATTATATTTATTATATATATATTTAATTTAATATATGAATAAATTTTACCCAGAGAAGACTAAAATTCAATCAACTTTGATTAGTTTTTAGAAAGCCAGCACGATTAAACTGGGTATAATATTAAAATGATTAGTTTTCAATCAATTGTGATTTGTCCAATTTTTCAGTGTAGGTTGAACGTGTTGATTATTTTGAGTGTATATATGAGACTAAAGCTGAGACCAATACCATTACACAGACTGCACATGGTGCGCACCTAACCAACGATGAAAAGTTGTATTCGAACTTATTGAACACACTCACTTCTCACAACTCACTCACTCACTTACTTCTCACCCATGTATTTCTCACGCCCTGGCGTTAGAGTCCTCAAAGTAAAAGTGTTCACTATTGGCAGATGTATCGCTCTTTTGGGGCTATTTCATTACTTTTTTATTATAGAATGCAAACGTGACTGAAATCCTGAATGGCTGTTTAAAATTCATAGTGCTAAAATCCGGTCTTCCACTGATTCATCAATAATCAAACCATTTGTGGTCAAAATCGCCAATACCGTGGACTCCCGGTAATCTGACCGTTTTTAATCTGAACACTTTTAAATTTGAATCCGGTTTACTACTTCTTCTTCTTCTTCTTTCCTTTATTTACCGTCAGTCTCTGTTCCGCAATCTAGTGCCAATCACCGACGGACATCGATTGCCATCCATTGACGGCAATCGAATGTGCAGGAGGAAGGCAGCTTCCACACCTGCGTAGGATATCGCACCCATTCAAACACACATGGGCCGGGACCATCGGCTTTACTTCCCTTCCCAAGGAAGACGTGACCAGAGATTTTTATGCCTCAGAAAAATCCCACCGACCTCGGCTGGGATTGAACCCCAGACACATAGGAGTGCGAAAGCAGTCACCCTTACCACTACACCACCGGCGCCGGTAGAATCCGGTTTATCTTCACGCCATGCAAACTAAAAATTACTCAAACGTCATTCAGCATATGGAATGGAGGGAAGCGAAATGGAACATTGCAAAACGGAAGGCAGAATCAAAACAAAACATGCATTTCTGATGCTGATAGAGTTACTAGAAATGCAAATTAAAAATGCATGAAGTGCCGTTCAGATTAGCGAGGGTTCACGGTATTATAAATTTGTAACACAATTGTTTCACCTAAACTAATCACTGATTATCAAAACAAATATCCTAAGAGAAGAGGAGACAATAGGGGGACCAAGAGGGGGACTTTTATGAACCAATTTTCTGTCAAACGCGATCCCAGCGCCTGATTGGTCGGGCATTTTTACTGTATGGAATCTATTTTCTTGTATTTTGACAGTCCATAACGAAATAGTTTTGCACGGTCGTTTTCGTGAGAGAAGAAGAACACTTCACAGACAAAAAGAAGTCAGTTGTCTCCTCTTCCTATTAGCAAATATCAACTTTCATTTAGAAAACAAAATTCTTCAGCATCCGTTTGCTATGATGCTGCCTGGTGCTGCTATAATGGTAATCGTCCAATGTCATATAGGGGTGATTCAAGTTTTATGGTGCAGCAGCGTAAAAAGCAGGATACTTATAAAAAATGTAATTAAATTGCAACTTTCCACCTAGTCGTCTTGGTTTCTTCGATACACTTTTTTCTTATGAGACAAAAAGTACATGCACACATTCATCACATTCTTCTTTGCACTTTTGAAGTAGTCCAGTTTAAATTCCAATCAATGATATATCATTGAACATGAACATGTTACACGTAGAAGCTAAAAAACACCCATTCTGAGGGTAATTAATTATATATGTTCGCAGCTAATCATAAAGTATGGACAGGAAAAGGTTTACAGATGCCCTTAACTTTGGATAAACTTAGTGCAGTAATACGCAAACTTGATGAAACCATGGATTCATCTCGTCAAACACGGTTCGCGAACGATTTGGTTAGATAACGGCGAGCATATCTCAAGCATCAATGATCACGCCTAAGGGTGACAGCTGCTAATACGACTAGTCAACCAAATGAGGCGCCTTTACATACACAAACCTGATTTCCACCCATCGTTTTTCCTTTGGATTAACTGCAAACTTTCCGCGAACGTGTGCGCCGATCGACGCCAACGTTCCAAGATTGAGAAAACCGCTATTACTCTTTTAGGTTAGAACCAGTTTCGATCCCTTCTTGAAGCCATAAGCCCATATGCAACGAGCGAGCGTAGAGAGGCTTTAAAAGAAAAGCACCGTCGCGAGGACGCGGGTTAGTTCTTTACGATCGGTTAAACTAGTTAGTACCTAGTGACATAAGTGCAAATCGCGAGTGCGCGCAACCGTTCATTACCACGTGTTCGACAATGTTACGGTTAATAGGCATATCGCTGTTGGTGATTCTGATACAGATCCGCGGGTCGGAGATCCTGAACGATGCCCACATTTACCGATCTTTTGCAGCGAATGAGATCGTTCCCGATGTGGTCGACGAAGCACCGGACTGTTGGCTACGGATCGCATTCAAGAGCGGCAGTGAGGTGGAAGGTGGTAATCGATTGACCCCGACCCAAACCAGAAGCATTCCTTCGCTCACGTTCAATGCCAACGATCGGTCGTACTACACGCTCATTATGTCCGATCCGGATGCACCCAGCCGGGATGACCCACGGGATAAGGAATTCCTTCACTGGGTCGTCGGTAACATCCAAGGCAACGATCTGGACCGTGCAGAAACCCTGGTGGAATATGTCGGAGCTGTGCCTCCGAAGGGTAGCGGTCTGCACCGGTTTGTGTTCCTGCTGTACGAGCACGAGAGCCGACTGAATTTCACCTCCGAATCGCGTCTGTCCAATCGCTGCCGGAACCCCAGGCGATACTTTTCATCCAGGAACTTCGCCCAAAAGTATGGACTTACGAACCTGTGGGCCGGAAACTTCTTCCAGGCCCAGTACGATGACTTTGTGCCGACAATGCAGGGACAACTGTCCGAATGTACTGAGTATATCGAGAAAATTGTATTCTATGTTTGAATGTTCTCATCGATTGTTTTGCTTCTTCTTTTTTCTTCTTTGTGATCTGTGTAATTACAGGTACGTCAGCCGAGCTGAATGGCCCGAGGAATGGAACCGCGTTCGGCGGTTGAGTACTCCTTGAAGAATAAGTTGGGTGGTAAAGTTTGGAAAATACACGGAGCTACGCAATAGAATAAGTGTATTTAGAAGAATCCGACATCCTTTGAGTAATCTTAGTGTCTATAGCATGTACAATAGGGTGGTTCAAAATATTGATTTATATGTGAAAAGTTTGCTATCTGTTCTTATGTGACATGTGACACCTTTTCTGAAGACCAGTTTTTGATTGAACGTCATGATAATTAGTTATCAATTAAATAATCAGTTTGATGATGTTCTTGTGACTGTGCACTGTAGTCTGAATTGACAAAATGATCTACTTTTTTTCTAGAGCCTAACCTTTTCATTTTAACCATAAAGTGTCTTGAGACAAACGATTCAGATTTCAAATCCGATATCCTCGATTAATAATAACAGACTCAACGTTACTTTTTACACCCAACGAACAACGTTTTTTTTATGTCGTATGTGTTGACTGCTTTTCTTAATTTTCTAGATTCAGATTTTCTGAAGAAAATAGTTTACGTCAAACTCTATAAGGCTCTGAACCATTTGGCGGATTTTTTAACTTTTGGTTAAAAATTGACCGATAGAAAGTTATCGATTAACCCTGCTATCCTAGCGTGATTATTTCTGACGGACAAGAAGTTAAGTTTTGAAAACAAAGGTTGAGTTCTGTTCGAAAACCGATCAATCGGTAACACAGGGATTTTCGAACATAAGAAATAACATTCAAAATGTCACTTTTAACCACGAGTTAAATTCAACTCGGCAAATGGTTCACAACCTTAATTGGCCGTGGGGATACAAAGAGAAAGTCGACGAAGAGAATCTGTCCGTTTTACTTAGGACCTAATGGAATGTTCAGCTTGATTGGTTTAAAATAATCATTGGAAAGGTTAGAGAGAACTTTTGGGCAGTTTCGGGCTTTTGGAAAATTTCGAGGGAAGCTATGGATAGTTTTAGATGGTTTTAGAGAGTAGTTAAGGGAACTTTTGAGAAATTCAGAGAAGTTCTGAGGAAACTTTAGGTATTTTCCGAGGACTCCAGTTTTGAATGTACTTCACGGATCATCCAGGAGATCTTTAGACTTTTTGCAACGACGAAAACTTCTAGAATAGCATGCTTCTTAAACGCTGGCCAGTTATAATAGAAACACTGGAATAAGAGACCAGCGGAGAAAAAAAAAACATGAATTTGGCAACAAGATTAACATCAAAGCAATCCTGGCATCACTTGCATTTGTAACTGCTTGCGAGTGACTTCGCCAATGCACCGACGAGCGAGTTCATGAGTGATTGTTAAACGATTTTAATACTCCTCCCTAATTGAAGCAAACCATTTGTAAACATTGCAGATTGGAACCGCTTTTGACAGTTCGATCGGAATCATAACAGTGTCTCCGCTGGTCTCTTATTCCAGTGTTTCTTTGTTATAACATGTTATAACGGTTGTCAAATAATTGCAACCCAGAAACCACCATCAAGATAGCGCTATAACATGTTATAACTCTAGTCTGAACGTATTTTTAGGTACTTGTGAGAAGTTTCGTGGCTATACTTCTGGAAATTTCCGAGAAAACTTGAGGGTATGTTTCGAGAAAACACCAAGTTCCGAAGGAGCTTCTTAGACAAAATTAAGAGAGAACTTTAAGAATGTTTCGAGGAAACATCTGTCAAAAGCCGGAGAAACTGTATGGATGATCATAAGGAACTTCAGGGATGTTCCGAGGGTGCTTCAGGGAAATTCTGTATGGGCAATAGGTGGACATTTAGAAGTGGAATCGACCGTAGAAAATTCATAATCGCGTTAATAAAAGTATAAATATCAAACTTGCAAAACAACGTGTTTTTATTTAGAACTCAACAAACTGATGGGGTTATCTTACTGACAGGCTGTCATTTTCTCTACTCGCTGTGCTGCCAGCTTCACTGATGAGGGTTCAGTCGATTCAGCGACCCTTTTGCACATTTGCCAACACTCCTCCTCGCTGATTCACTGAACAAATCCTAGCTGCTTGGCAAACTGCATCATCTTCGCTGGTCCAAGTGGCTTTGTGAAAACATCTGCCACCATCTGGTCAGAAGGGCAGTACTCCAGCTGAATGACAAATCCTTCGCGTGATGAACCTTCGTATCAATATGCTTGCTCCGCTTGTTATGCTTCTCCATGGACACAAAATCGATGCAGCTTCTATTGGCCTCGTGGATGATCGTTGCCTGTTGTGACACTACTCCCAACTGGCTCAGTAAGCTACGCAACCACACAGCTTCGGATGCTACCGCCGATAACACCACATATTCGGCCTCCATCGTAGATGTGGTGACGCAGTTTTGCTTCCTACTCACCCTGTGTATCCACTCGTTGATTTACGGTCTGCTGAATCTCCTGCCCAGTCAGCATCGCTGTATCCGATTAGGGTCAGCCCATTCGTTCGATCACTAAATAGCTTCAACTCGTATTCTACCGTACCAATCAGCGCGTCAGCTCGATCCAATCGCGCTGAGTCGGATAGCTGGACACCCGACTAAGTATTGAAACCGCTACTGCTATGTCCGGTCTCGACTTTGTCGCCAGGTATAGAAGGACTCCCACCAAACTTTGGTACTGGATGTTGTTCAACAAAACTTCACCCTCCTGATGCTTCAGATAACCTTGGTCCAAAGGAAACTTGGAACTCTTAACCCCTTCAAGGCCGAAACGTTCCGGTATTGCCCAAATAGCTGCCTGCTGACTCAAAGAAGAGAATCCGTTTTCGTTCTCTGATTCCCAGAAAATAGTCACTGTTCCCAAACAGGAAATCTCGAATCGCTTGTGCAACTCCTGTTCAAGCAAATCTAGCTAATGCTTGTCTCTGCACGCCACAATCATATCGTCTATGTAAATTAGTAAGCAGACCCACTCTCCACTACTCAGTTGCTTTATATACAAACAGACGTTGGACTTGGACTGCCAGAATCCAGCAACACCTTTTTCACGGTCGAGTGCCATTCTTTTGCCGCATAAGTACCTCCTCTTCTAGACAGCCGTTTAGATTTGCATTCCGAACATCGATATGTCTTATTTGAAGATTATTGTGTCCCGCCACCGTCAAGAGAACTAGAAAAGTTTACTGCATTGCGACTGGCGCAAACACTTCTCCAAAATCCGCTCCGGGTCACTTCGTCCATAACACGTCCATTTCTCCTTGTCCGAACTATTCACGGCTTCGGTGTAACTAATCGGCTCCGTTACAGCAACTTGGGCTATTCCAACCAAGATTTCAATCTTCGTATCTTCCTGGCAACACTGTTCTCTTGGAAGAATCCTTCGAATTCAAAATACTCGTCGTCTGAATTCGAAAAACTTTAGAAATCGGGCTCCTCAGTGTCACTGCCCGCATCACTTTTTCCTACCGAAATCAATCTCGACTTCATTGACACTCTTCGGCATCGGTGGATTATTCTTGGTCATCGGTGCATCCCGCTTCGCCGAGCTACGACCCAAGTAACCAAAAGTTCCGCATTCAACGATTAAAATCACTTCCAAGTTCCGTAAAGTTCAAATAAAGTTCCGACCGAACCTTCAAGTTACATAAAGTTCGAATAAAGTTCCGAAAGAACTTTCAAGTTCCATAAAGCTCGAATAAAGTTCCGACAGAACTTTCAAGCCACATGAAGCAATCCGCACAAGTCTTTATTAGTAACAAAATTTAATTTACGTAAATATGGAATGATCAGTGGCCCGAATAAATCATAATTCTTATATTTATGCAGTGCATCAACATTCTATTCAAACATAAAGAAAAAATTAAAAAGTAATTTCCTGGATTCGAACCCGTGTATTCCACATGCGATCTACAAACGCTAACCACTGCGCCACAAATGCGTTGGAATAGCATGCGGGCAAACATCAATTTAAAACTCATCAAGGTGTTGTGTTTCGTATTCAAGTCAGTCAGCTGGCACTGAAAACTCCAACAGTAGGCGGGACAACCACTCACTTTATTATATCTCAAATGACGCAGCGGTTCGTGCTGGGGCCCTCACGCAGAAGGGCTGGGTTGAATTCTTCAAACCGCTCCAATTATACTACTAATGCTGGTAAATCATACACAATTATAATATCTGCCTTTAGAAATAACTTTCATAAAAGTGCGAGGACAAAAACCTTTTTGAATTTATTTTCTAAAAGTTCCGTTCAAGTTCCGCCAGAAGCTGCTTAGAATGCTCTTCAATTATGATATCGGAACTTTCAAGTTCTTATTTTTTTTATTAATTAATTTATTTGTACAGGCTCAATCGAATAAACTTTTCAGAGCCAAGTTATCATTTGCGTTATACATAATTGATGTCTTAAGTCTAGATTTAAAGGAACTGAACCGATTTCAAGTTCTTATAACGACTTAAAAATGAGGCTGCTTAGAATTCTATGGACCACCACCAACCAAGCTGCTTAATCCACAAATAGCCTTTTATCAGAACTTTTGGTTACTTGGGGAGTCCTCCTGAAGCTCTGGATCATGCTCCACAAACTTAGCGTATGCCTTTGAACCGCAAGCGTACCCGACGAAGGTTAACTTCTTGGCTCTGCGTCCGGAATATAGACGAAAGTGTCACATCCGAAAACCTTCAAGTGACTCAGGTCTAGCTTCTCGCCATTCCACAACTCGAACGGAGTCCTCTCTACTGAACGCGATGGCAGACGATTCTGGACATATGCTGCCGCTGCAATCACTGGATGTCGACTGTGTAACCAGTTGGTTGCAATCCGTGGATTTTCGTCTGTATGAGTTGTCGTTTGGAAAATTCACGTATTTTAAGAACAAACCCTGGCGAGATGGACCAACTGTGGTCTTAGCCAGTCGAAAGACAACACAAAAAAAAGAACAAACCCAGAAGGCACACACAGTAGCGAGAGGGCTAGTACCGCTGCAAAAACACTCGAACAATACTAAAGGGAGGAAAATCGTAGCCCTAAGCTAACAATGGAGAATAATCGGCAAAAGGCATGCGAGTGGCCATCTTCTGAAAACAAAACCTTCTAATGAGGAGAAGTAATCAGGCG